AGTTATTGACCTGCTATTTCCAGGAAAGGACAAAAGTGCTTGTTTTATAGGAAATTTGACAAGAATAAGCTTACTTTCTCACATATTGATTTGCAAGTTCTGTCAGATATTCATGTTGAGATTCCTGAAAGAGTTAGAAATACGAGATTTAGAGAAGGCAGGTTTATAAAAAGATATAGATTTGGAGTTATTTCATAGAAATAGCAGTTAAAGCTATGCTATTATATGGTAGCAATTTTAAAATAAAATTTATTTCTCTCTATTTACTTCCTTATTTTCTGCCTTTTCTTAATTTTTTCCCTTCTTTCCTGTCACACACTTACTAGGAGCCTAATATAGCGTTTAGGGTATACAGTGGTGAATGAAACCTACAGAGTTCTTACATTTTTAGTTTTAGAGTTTAATGGGGTGGGGGGAATTAAGCCAATTATTACAGAAATACATGCTATTTTAATTCTAATCGGGAAATTTAACATGAGATTTCCTTAACTTAAAGATACATTGTTTTCCCAAAATTATAGGCTATTTGTTTGGAACTTGAAGTGTATTTTCCCATAGGAGTGATGATATAAAGAGTTCTCATGTAATTCGATGAAGTCCTCTTTAATCTAAATATCTCTTTGTAACTTTGTTTTTGTGGGAAATTGTGGACATAATGGAAGTAATATTGTAAAATTGATGGTGATTGGTCTAAAAAGAAAAAGCTGAGAAGAGAAGAAAGTAGAGTCCTTGAATCATGTAGTTAGCCTAACCCCATCTAGGGTCTACACATCAATAAAGATTAGTAAGTTTTAAACTGTGTCTATCATGAGTCTATATTCTGGTAGGTGAGATAGACCATGTAAATAGTTAATTGCAGTGTAATGCAGTATGTGCAGTGATATGTGTTTTTAACAAGATATAGATGTGGCATAGAGAGAATATTCAACTCTGACTTTAGGGATTAGGAGGTTGGAGAAAACATCATTAAAGAGGTGATGCCTCATTGCGACTTTGGAGGATAAATACTAGTTTGTTTAATGAACCTGTGGAACCCAAAGGGCCTTCCTTAAAGGTTTGAAGACGTGAAACAACATGATCTGTTTTAGGAATGACAATGTAGTACACTATTCAAAGGATCAGAAAGTATGAGTTGTGCAAGGATGGGAGAGGAATGTAGGAAGTCATGAATATTGTTTAATATTAAGCCTTGGAGAATTTGATGGTGATGTGTGTAGGAAGGTGGATAGAAAGATAGACATAAAAGGCTTACTTATTCTGTCTACTGGATTTGAAGCAACTGTGTTCAGGAATAGTTTTCTGATGGACGTGTCCTATTCAGTTACTCTTTCTCATTTTTCACAGTCTTCATCTGGGCCTTAAGTTGTAGTGATCTTGCAGTCTTTTCAAGATCACTAGATCAGTTCCCGCCTTTGATCATTTTCTTTGAAAGATACAATGTCACAAACTTTTTTTATAGCAAAGAGTTCTAAGAACAAGTCAAGTTTAAAACAATTTGGAAACCTCCAAGAAAGTGGGTTCCTAGCTGAACTGATAACTTAAGTTTTATGTTTGAATCTAGATAGTCTAGTTCATTTTACTTTGACTTGAAAAAGGGTTTTTTTTTTTCACATATTGTGTTCTTAGCAGTGCTTTATACTTGTTTAAATGTTTTTAAAAGTTTGATTATATGTTTCTATAACATCTATTTGTAATAAATTATTTTAAAGAAATAAATCTACACGTTCCAGTAATAACTTTTATATGGCCTTTATATTTTTTCTTGGTTCAGGCTAAATGTGTGTCTGGCCCTTTGTTCCCTTAAGAATCACATTATGTTTATTTTATGGAAAATGTCATTACAGTTATGCTATCAGAATATAATATTTCTTTTATTTTGGTAGTTTTTCCACATGTTTCTTCTGATTTAATCAAAATGTTTACTTATTTATATGCTGTTTAGTTGAGTTATTATTGTACTGAATAGGGAAAAGAGCACTTTGTTCTTGAATACCTCCTTGAATTATTGTAATTAAAAAATTGAGAAGAGTCGTTTAATGTATCTTGAGTGAAACCGAACTTTTAATTTCATGTATCTTGAAAGGAAAAGTAAAAGCCATTCTCTTCAGTTAAATTAGAATGAAAAGAAATTGAGATGCTCTTTTACAAATAGCCTGTTTAAATAAGTGCTGGTTTGTGTCTTTGGTCAGGAAACACACACTGAGTAGATCTACAAGTTTATGTAGTGTTGAAGAAGGGGCAGATAACCTAAAGTGTTGTTTGCCCCTTTCTTGACACAATCCCAGTCAGTGGTCTAAATTTTGCTCAAAGTTTTAGAGAGAGGAAAGCAGAGTTTAGCAACATCCCTCCTTTGCTCTTGCAACAGCTTTATCAACACATTATAGCTTCCATATTTCTCCTTCTCTCTATTCCAGCTTTCACTAAGACAGCAGCTTCTTCTCACTCTCAGAAAAAAAAATTAAAATAGTTTATCTTGGTTGAAGGGATGGCTATCCCATATTTAATGATTTCTCTTTTTATCCTATAGTAGAGTCTTCCATATCTTAAATTTACAGTGCTTTGAAATTTTCATTTAAATCTTTGCTTACAGTTGGTTTTGATGACTTCATATAAATAATAAGTATGTTGCTGAGGCAACTGTTTATTATTTCACACTGTGTCTTCTCTATGAGGACCCTGAGAGTGGGGCTGGAGAGCTCTCATGTTATTGTCAGGAATAGCTGTCTTCTCTGAGCAGGCGATTCTCTTTTATCTCATGCTAGAGTTTTCACTTGTCTCAGTTATCATGACTCATCCTTCTGAAAAATTGTTGTGTCTTTGTTATTTACCTTATTTCATCTATTGTTAGACTGTTCTTTTCCTGATTTTTAAAAATTCAGCTTTATTGAGTTATAACTAACAAACAAAATTGTAAGATACTTAAAGTATACATCATAGTGATCCAACACACGTAAATTCTTTTCCTGATTTTTAAGAACAGGAGCTATTTCTGCAGTGTCTCCAAAGGATTCAATCTTTTTTCCTTTCTTCTCTATTTTTGGCTGTGGCATAGAAAAATCATGGGCCATTCTTACACTGTGAGACTTTTATCAAAGGCAACAGTTTAAGAGAAAAAAATAGATTACGAAGTTGACTATGAATGTCTTCCCTGTTGAATTTTTAATATTATTCTCATTGAATTAACTACTGCAGGCCTCTTACTTATAAAAGGATAGTAATCTAAAGATTTGGAAATTGGGCTTCTGAAATTCAAAATTGGTTTTTCTATATAAATAATGTTATAAGTAAGGATTATGAAATCAGGCCAACTCACAGCAACCTGGCACATAATATAAACTGTAATCAAACCAAAGAGAATTGTAGTTAATATAGTGAAAACTTGTGTTTCTTTTGTGTTTAGGTACTTTTGAAAAACCTATGAGAGACTTGTTCAAATTTTGGATAGATGTTTCAGATACTTTTAAGAGCTTTTGAGATTGATGACACTATGTCTATTAAGTCTAATATAATTTTTAAAATATCAAATGAAACAAAAATTTTTAATGTATTTCTTAAGGTTTCTTGACAGCCATATTTATGCATTCTAGGAAAATAGTCAGTGAGATGGGATCAACAATTTGATCCCCTACTCTTTGTAAATGTTACTAGCACTGTTAAAAGTGTAGTTAAAAAAATTTTTTTTTTTACTTTTACCAAGCAAATTTTTTACTTTTATAAGTGGTAATATATTATTATACAACTATAAAATGTAAGTTTTATACTATTCCTGAATATGTTCATTCTAAACTGATATATTCTCTAAATTATAGTGTAAACTAAGGCAACTTATATATAACATAATCTATAGGTAATTTCCATCCTGTGTATAGCACTTATACATGATGTCAGCTGGCCCACAGCAATCATTTAATTTGTTCCATCTTTAAATACTATACACTAGTATTAATGTTATAGTCTATTTTCACTATAAGAATATAATATTTTAGCCACATTAGACATTTAATACCTTTCCAACTAGCCTATTGGAGCTTATTGATATTTTGCAAAAAAAAGTATATACACATACATACACATATAAATATGTATTATTCTTTGCAGGGGAAAGTGCAACAGGAGGGGTAGGAAGGAAAGAAGTTTTATGGTGAGAACTATGAAACCATTAAGATCATATCTGTACATTCCTTTTTCCTCTTTCTCTTCAGCCACTGAGGGACCTAAGGTTCAGGGCAGTTGGAGTGAAGCAGCTAGGGAATGTGGGGCAAGTTCAGCAAGTCAGCTGAGAAGAAGTACAGGTGTGCATGAACGGCAGGCAGGCAGGGAGTACAGAGGCAGCTAGATACCTACTCATTTCTCCAGCTCTTTACATTTCAGAAGGTACCCCATCAAATTTGAAAACTTGTGTGTTTGTTATTAACTTGTCTACCCTGTAAGGAAATGAGAATTTTGGTTGGCCTAGAGAATGCTTTTCCTCAAAGTGCAGTCCTGCAGCAGCCAGCAGGGCTGGGGCTCCTCAGAGTGCTCTGAAAAGAGTTAGTATGAAGTAATTGTTGTTTGGATGTTTGTAAGTTCGGTACTTTAATTCATGAAATTAGGAGTACTCAAATACAATCTTGAATGGAAATGCTAGTGACCAAAATATCAAAAGATGTATGTCTGGAAATGTTCTACATTTTAGTCATAATGTTCATATTTTATGTATAAGCCTTTTACTTCATTCTAAATGTATCATGCTTTATGCTAATAACGAAAAGCAATATGAAAAATAACTGCATGCATATAATTTATAACAGTATTTTAGAAGCCTGATCCATCAAATATATGTTATTTTAGTTCATGTTTTAAATCAGCAGCTTTTTTACAGAGTTAAGCTGTACTTTCAAATGTCTATTGTCTGGTTTCCAAGGGATACTAAAAAGCATGGTTCAAGTGCATTGTAACATTAAAGTTGATTTAGCAGTCAGTTTGTTTTCATTGCAACTCTCTAATTGCTGTTTGCTTAGGGGATAGTGGTCCTAGAAGAATGTCAACTTCCAAAAGACATTTTGAAAAAACAAATACAATTTGCAGACCAAGCAGCTTCATTAAACACTACAGGGAACCCCCAGATTTCTCAAGAGAGTCAAGATCCTTTACCAGAACAAGATTTTGAAATGTCACCAAGCAGCCCTACACTACTTCTTCGCAATATAGAAAAACAGGTAATGTTAAGTAAGAGTAAGGTGCAAGTGGCATGAAATAGCTTTAAATTGATTTTGTAAACTATTCAAATAAATGTAGTGTCTGCTTGAGAGATTGGTTATTAAAGTTGGCCATTTGACATTAAATAAAATTAAAATATTGAATGTATGACTAACCTGTTATAATATTGATATAATTGAAGTTATTTAAATATAATTTGATAAGTATTGGTACATAGCTTATAGGGGTGATAACTCTATATTAGGGATGGAAAATCTTATTTTCTAATAAAATTACTTATCATTGGACTTTTTTCATGGAGAAAGAACAGTGGTACCACTTAATAAATCTGAATGGTTGTTTGATTAACTTATTGATACAGATTTTTAGTGAACGATAATATTAGAATATGGATTCTTTCTTTAAAATGATCATGAAAATAGAAAGTCTAATAAACTGCTAGTAAATTACTTTGATTCCAGAACTTTCTCTGGTATTTAAATCCTTTTATGGATGACTCCAGAAGTTTAATTATTCTGTCCTATATTTATCTTTCAAAATTGAACCATTTATTTTAATTTAGACTTTGGTGGCTTTTGAATAAACTTGGCTTTATAGGAGTTTGTTAATTTACAACCAGACTAAATCTACTGGAATACACTCAGTTGGGACCACAGCTGCATGACTACATTATTCTAGTGGGTAATATAGATTTTCATGTCTTCCTACATTTGATTTTTCTGTTTTTTTTTTTTTTAAGACATTCATTGTGAAATAGTTTGGTACCAGGTTGCTACTATCTTACTCCTGGTAATTCAGAATATGAGATAACTCCTCCCACCCCATATTTGTTAAATTTACAATTGTCTAGAGTTTTTGTTAATTGGAATGCATAATCAAAATACTATTATGACTATTTTATAATTCAGAAAGTTATTTTTAAATTATCTGTTAAGTTGGAGTGTTCTTTACCATGTAAGTGGCGTTTTAAACTAGTGTTGATTATATTTCTCTTCCCTCTTTTTTTCCCCCTCCTTCCATCCCATAGGATCAGTACCATTTCAGTTTGACCCTAGTCATTTCATACCCCAGAATAATGTATTTACCTGATCAGTCAGCTCTTCTGCTTTCTTTACCTGTAGGTCACTATTAATCCTTCAGAAAGAGATTTCTTGTATTTTTTTTTTCTTTCTCCTTGCATAGCACCAGTTTTTTTGGTTGGACCTGGGTTAACATAGAACTGGCTAATTTGTGAGGCCCAGTACAAAATGAAATTACATAGCCCTTTGTTAAAAATAATTTTTAAGTTTTAAGCTGGTGACGACAGAGCATTTCCAAACGTGGGATCCTTCTGAGTGCAGCCCCGTGCTACTTACTGTGCAAGTTGCTCACCCATGAAGGTGGCCCTGGTATCATGTTCATTTTGGGTCCCACTGCTGTCAGGAGTGTCAGAGACTTTGGGAAGGAAGGGAACCAGGAGTTGTGAGAACAGTAGCAATGGCTCTAGATGTAGGAGAAGGATGCAGCAAGGAGCAGCAGCAGTCACTTGTAGAGGTCATTGATAAATTGCCTATGTTCAGGTAATGTGCTCTTGAAACATATGCTAATAATGTTTTTATAGGCCAACTGAAAATTAAGTTGTTTTCAAATACTTGTTGAAGAAGACAGTCTAAGGGTAAGTTAAATGGAAGGGGTGGCAATCCTGATATTACACATATTTTTCTTAACATAATCTGTTGGTATATAACTGTTCACCAACCACAGTGGAATTTGCATATAGATAGATCAGGTAATCCTTTGATGTGATTAAATTAACTTTGTTAAGGAATGTTCTGCTTGCCAAACTTATTAATATTTCTCAAAAGCAACTAAAGATTTAGCAGTTACAAAGGACTTTTGAGTTGTGGACTGACATCAGTTTAAAAAATATTGATTCATAGTATTAATGCATACTTGCATTATTAGATAATACATTTTCACAAATTGAAAGGTGACTTTATTTTAGAAATTCAGGTAATTTAAAATAAATTTCATATTGGTATATTTGCATTAGAAACCTTATTATAAATAGCTAGTAAGTGTTTTGACTTTTAAAGTTGATTAAGTTTTGTTTTCAGAGTTCAAATTATGCCTCTCCTAATTTTACTTTTGCCCTCATTTTTATTATGAATTTCCATCCCAAATAAGGACTCAAGTATGAGATTTTATTGGGCTGGAGTGGGATGGTTATTAGGGTAAAGCTAGGGGTTAGTTGTAATGCTTTCCTTCTGGGCCAATTATTTACACATATCTGACTAGTAACCTCCAGTGGCTAAGAAGATTCTAGGTATTTTTGGAGGTGAAACAGTGAGAAGAGAGTGTCAGTGTTTTAGACTGGAAAATATGAGATACTCTGTAAATTGCTTTATATGACCAAGCTAATGAATACTTGATAGAAGGATAAATAATCTGTATTGGTGATTTTGAAAACTAGCTTTAATCTGAAAATGTGTAATAATCTAAAAAAAATAAAGTATTATTTTTCAAGAAAATAAGTGGTGAAAACATTTCACGGTCTTTTTTATGAAAGACTTCTTGAAGAAATCAAATATATTTAGTTCTATCACATTCTTTAGTCTTATTTCTAATAACATTTGTTTCATACAAATGAAGAGTAGTTTCAAAATATTTCATATACACTTCTATTTTATACTAGAATATCTTTTAGTTAATAAAATTATAAAATAGATCTATATTTTTTTTAAATATAGTCACACTGTATTAAAAAAAACAGGTTTTAAAAAATTGATGTGTCATGATTTAATTGAAAGAGTGTGTTGTGTGTGCCCACGCGCACTTGCATATATGCGTGTTGTGTATATACTCATGCTCACATGTATTCAGAAAATTTCTGGAGGGATAGATATATACCAAGATATTAGCAATAGTTTTCTCCATAAAGTATAGTTACAGATTATTATTTTTTTAAACCTCTTCATACTTTCCCTTTTTTCTACAATGAACATGGATTACATGTGTAGTGAAAAAAGCTGTCATTCTTTTGTAGCAATGTACTATTTCCATTAATGTGGCCTGTGCTTGGTATAATTGTTGTAGGTGATTGTTTTGAGATATAATATTTATTACATATTACAAATATATCTAAGTTTGGGATAAAGGTCAATGAAAATTTTGGGTACCTAAAAAAAACTGATATATTTGAATTAGAAAAATACTGAGAAACAGTGTGGCATTGGATTCAAGCCTGAATTTGAACACCTTTGCTCCATTTATTACCAACTTTTTAATCATTTTTTGAGCTGCTTTATCTGTCTTTGCTTCAATTTCTTCGTCTGTAATTGATTTTAATAATAGTAATATCAGTAGTTCTAGTATCTACTTCGCAGGTTAGTTGTAAACATTAGAAATATTCTGTTTTGTGCTTAGTAAAGTGCCTGGCACATAATAGGCACTTAATAAATTGCAGCAGTGGTTTTGTTATTATTAATTTGGCTATCTCAAAGGATATATTATGTAGATGCTATTAGCTGAGTTTAAATGTTTTAGAGGATAGGATGAGTAGATAAAGGAACTGAAACAAAAAGATGTGGAAAAAGAGTACTAAGATGTAAATTTACTTATAATAAATGGAAAAATCAGTAGTGGTGTAAATTGTCTCTGTAGATTAAAATATTTACTAAAATGTACTTGTTTCACGGGAATTTAAGCTGTAATAGGCACTAAACTTCTAAGATTTAACTCACATTTCTTGCTTAGCAGTAGTAAAAGGTTTATACTTTTCTTGCAGAGTGCACAGTTGACTGAGATCATCAACAGTTTGATCGCCCCTCTCAACTTGTCCCCAACTTCATCACCCCTCTCCTCTAAATCGTGCAGCCATAAATGTCTGGCTAATGGCGTTTCCAGGAGGTAGGTATCAATGGGATAGTTGTGCCTCTAAATTTGATCTTTTAAGTTTTGTAATGTAGCTGCTTTTTTCTTTTTACTGAAGCATTATTAGAGTACAGTCAATAAACTATGGATACATTTTAGATAATATCAGACTTTTATAACTAAGGGAACTATGTAAGCCTGAGAATGAGGGAGAAAGCTTTCCAGGAAGTTTTATAATGTTTCTAAAAAAGAAAAACAGTGATACCATCTGCTACAAAAGTACTGCCTTATTTAATATAACTTCCATTTTGTACATTTTATATTCTTTAGCTCCATACTGCCCTTGCAATACACGTTAAGGGAAAAAGACCTTATGTATATTTTGGTCATGGAAGATTGGTAAATACCATCCATAAAGTTTAAGTAAAGTTTTACTCAATCATTTTGTATCTCAGCTTTTATAAGGAAAATTTTTTCCTGAACGTAATTAATACAATAATTCCTGTAATCCTTAGCAATTAATTATATCATGTCAGCAATGTATATATATTGAATCCTAATCCTTTTTTTGGGAACAGCATTTGTTTTCTTTATTTTGCTTACTTTTCTCTTTGTTTGTTTTTTTGATGGAGGAGGTGATTAGGTTTGTTTATTTACTTGCTTTTCTCTTTGAATCTTTCCTTTTAAAGATGCAGTTAGAATTAAAGTGCTAATAGAACATTATTTTGTGTGTTCATCTAATTTTTTTCTAAATAAAATTGTAATATAGGCTTCTTTGTTTTAAGTACCAAAAAGGGCTAAGTGTAATTTAGTGTTGGAAAATATTTATATTCATAATTATATGATTTACTAACATTTTAAAAAATATAGCATGAAAGGAAAATTTATACCATGGGGAAAATTATGCTAAATAGCCGTCACTTTCTTAATGGACTTAATGGATAAAAACTAAGTCTTAAAATAAAAATGCCATTATTTTATTTTTATTTCTAATTTGTTATTTTGAAAGTCTAATTTTTAATACTTTTGTTTGTGCAGAGTCATTTGTCCATTGTTCTGTTATAGAGACAGTTCTATTGGTTTTGCTTTATTTTTTGTTGACTTTATTTCATTCCTTATATCACTGATGATTCACTTTGAAAATAAAGATTCTCTCATGTATAAAAATACCCTGATATCTTCATATATGAGAACATACCCTCATTAAGAAAGTCATAATTATAAGTTGAGCCATTAAACACCATCATATTGGCATATGAACATTGTGATTTGGGGCTAAGTCCATTTTAGGTAATGTTTTGTTTACCTAACAAGGCATTACGCTATTATACATATACTTATGCATGTGTGTGTACATATTTTCATTTTAATGTACCTCCTGTATTTTTGGTCATTCATTCACAAAGTATTTAATGCATAACTAATTGCTGTGTGCCATAGAGTCAAAGTTCTAGGGATACAGTCGTGAAGGAGACAAAATCTCCACTTTTCAGTAACTTGCAGTCTAGCAGGTGAAACATGTAATTGTTTAAAATATCATATAACAATAATGGAATTGTGTGCAGTTGTTTGGATATTTGGATTTAGTAGCTGTCTTAGTTGAAAAAGATACATAAATACAAATGAAAGAAATGTAATGTTGGCTGTGTTTACTAAATCATAGTTTTTCAATTCCATCTGAAATATAGTTCAAAGGTTCTTGTTGAAATTAGCTAAAAATTATCATCTTTCCTGATGTTAAGTAGTTGTTCTTACAAACTAATTGGAAAGTTTATTTTTGAAAGTTTATTATAGGTTCAAAATCTACTAAAATTCTTTGATAAATTTAAAAGCAGATAAAAATTTGTTCTCCAGCTTTTTGAAGTGTGCTGATATATGTAAATGTTTTAGTTAATTTTATCAATTTTATTTGTTTATTAATTTATTTTTGGCAACAAACATTTTTCCCGAATACTTTCTGTATAACATGAGTTTCTTTCAAAAAGCACTTCTTTTCATATTTGTTATCAAAATATTGTATTTCCCTTGAAGGAAAGACTTTTATTTTTTAACATTTGGTAGAAAATGTAATACAACTAGTTTTCATCAACCCTTAAGGTGAGCAAATTTAGAATGTTAGAATTTTTGTTTAAAATGTATAATTGATCTTTAAGTTTAATAACTCTTTTAAAATGCTTTGTCACCGTTAATGAGCAAACTGCTGTGTGAAACAAAAGATTCGGGAGATACTCCAGGTCTCATTAAAATTTTTGCAACATTCTACTATTTATGATAGTATATATCATAATATACAAATGTATTTTACCAGGAACATAGAAATTAGAATATATTACAGATAAGAGAATAATAACATTGAAGGAAACACAGAAAATTTTGAGACTACGTGGTTGTTGTGTCAGATGACAAAGAGAGGAACTGAAAAAATGTCTCTTGTTTTGGTCAGTTTAAGTTGAGGCCTTAGCAAGAACATTGCAGTGGCTTGATGGACACAGAGATTAAGAGCCGGTTAATTAGGGAGTGGGAGATGGAAGAGAGGAGTCAGGATTATATTTTCAAGGCTGCTGACTGTATAATGAAATGGATGTATAAGATCAAAGAAGGGTTTTTGTTTGTTTTTAAGATGGAAGAAACGTAAGCATCTTTATTAAAATAAAGAGAAGGAAAAGAGTTAGAGATGGGAAATGTAGAAATACAATAGAGTTATGGAGGGGCCTTATGACAGGAGAAAATACACTTGTTCTTTGAGAGTGGAATGAAAGAGATTAAGATGGGTGTAGCTGCAGTTATTTGTAAAGTGACTGTAGCCAAATTTAGGATGGGAAGGGGGCTGGAGGAGTTAAAGTTTGGATAGACTTTATAAAAGATGGCGCCTTCCCTTTGTTTTTCCTCCATTCCCCTCCTTTTTCTGTAGTAGAGCTACCCATCCTTGGAGAAGCATGTTATGTGGTTTCTAAGGTTTGTTTTTTTTTTTTGGCTCCTTAACTATATTGTTTAAAGTACTTAATTGATACTTGTAAAACCAGTTAAGGATTTACTTTAAAAGTATTAGTAATTGAACTTTTTATAAAATAAACAATTGTGTAGTAGTGAAATTCTAAAAATGTAACATTATTTTACATCATTCACATTTAAGAATATTATCATAGATTTTGAAAATTAATTGAATATACAATCTTATAGTAATATATGAAAAAGTTTTGATTTAGAGATATCTGTACTGAAGCAATGTGAAATTTATTTATGAGCCTTTTGACTCTGGGAGTAAAATGTCAAATGAAGACTGGTTCTATTTCTTGTATCTTTCTGTTTTTTGAATATTCTTATTTTTTCCTTCATATAGTTTTATATTAAGAAAATATCTTTTGGACTCAAAGCTTTTCAAGAATTAGGGCTTAGTCTATTTAATCTTACTCAAACTTGACACTTAACCACAAAGCGCTTTCTGAAAATAAGATTAGGCATATAAATACTATTTATTTTATGCCTTTATGTAAATGTGAAGGTAAGAAAATCCATTATTCAAGAATTTTTTAAATTCTAGTAAAATGTACATACTGTAAAATTTACCATTTTAACCATTTTTAAGTTTAATGGCATTAAGTACATTCACATTTTCGTGCAACAGTTTCTGAATCCCTATCCAGTTACTGAATTTATAAACTTTGCCCTTTTCTTTATCTGTTGAATCTGTCTTAATCTAGGATATCTGTTCTGTAGTCTCCAATGACAGCATTTATGCATGTTTGTGGAGAGCAAATGAAGAATGACTAAAGAAAAGGACCAGTCGCTGTATTGTGTTTTCAGTTGTCCCCTATGACCTGAAAAGTATTCTTATATTCAGTTGTGAATTGTGAGGTGCATACTCAGCTGAAAAGTGTAAATTACTACAAATGTCAGGCCTAATAATAGCAGTACAATGAAAGGAAGTTGCAGAATATTTGTAGATAGTGGCAAAATGTACATTTAAAAGTAACAGGAAACTTGATGACTTACTATGATAAATGTGTTTTTGCCTTACATTTCCTTAAAACTCATTAGGGTATCTAAATATTTATATTCTCTTCTAAAAATTTTATGAAGTCTTAACCAACATTTGGCCATCATTTATTTTCCACTCTAACCCGATTTCTACAATCGTATTATCTTAAAAAGTACATTTAGTTTATTAAAATGTAGTATACCACTCAATAGATCATTGACAAAGAGTTTAATGTATGTCTTGCAATAAACATGCCAGATGCTGGGAGACAGCATACAGTTGTGTTAGAAGTAAATGAGGTAGTAGATATAAAACTCTTATAACAATGCCTGGCACGCAAGAAATAGCCTAATAATGTTAGTCATTGGTATTTTCTTGTAAGGACATAACAGATATTAAAATTGTGGGTATGGTCTGTTATTTCTTTCATATCCTGGGCAGTGTACTGATTTTGATTTAGAACTATTCTTACTCTTTTAAAAAAGTATTTCAGAGTGGCCTGAGTTAGGGTAAGGATTTGAAGGCATATACAAAGCCTTATAGACCAGTTATTACTCAAGACGTTTTTCACACAGGTACTAGGAGTCACTGAGGCACCATTTATTTTTCCATCATATCTCGTGGGAAGATAGAAAGTTGCTGACTTGCCTTTGGTCTACACAATTTGTTTGCGACCCTGTAATTAAATTAAGTGCTCTTAAATTCAGGGTAAACACATTGTTGGATTTTATTCTTGTATTACATAAAACATACCTTCTCAAAAGACCATCTTGGGATATTAATCTCCTTCCCCAGCCAAAAAAAAAAAAGGTTTCAACTTTTGTTTGCTCTTAATTATAATGATTTTGTAATTTAGTGGTTTGGGGTAACTTAAGGTTATGGGAGTAGACACTTTTTACATATTCTTTTTGTTACAGACATTTTGTGACCTTGGGCAAGCCAGTTAATCTCTTTACATGTCATTCTTTAAAAATACTAGGACACAAATATTTTCTCAAGCAGTTGTCAGTAGTGCTAATATGCTCCATTTAAGTGTTTATTTTTAAGGAATTACATT